TCGAGGCAATCGACGATTAACAGGATGATTTGTGATTTGTGATTGTTGAAGGATTAGAGATCCAAAACTATGATGATGTCCATTCTCCACACATTAATATACAGATTCAATATATTCTCAATGTAATATCCCAAAGTATTGAAAGGTTCTTAATAAAATGTTTTTCTTATTGGTTAAAAATAAAATTAAACAGCTTACTGAACCTCTCTAATACTCAGCTTCACAGGCGTCAAATAGGAGTGCCCAGCTTTCATGAAAGAAAGTAGAATTAAATGATGGAATGTGGGTGAGACACTGAGCAGTGTGTCTACCTTGTAGTAGCTGGTATTCAATAAGCATCTGCCCTCCTGACTCAGTTGTTGGCTTTTTCATCGATGTTGGGCCTCTGCACACAATGCTTGTCCCTTGTTGCAAGATCCACACTGCCCCTTTCTTTACCCATCTCCCTTCCTTATCCTGTTACATTCCGCCCTGAATCATCCTCCTTCAGAATGGCTTGCTCCTTGACTTTCCCTCTAGCAGTGGTAGGTGCCTCTTTATGACACATACAAAGTATTTGTTTATTTCTGTGCTGCTGCTTGAAACACCAAACTCCGTGAGCCCTTGAGGAGAGACTAGATTCCATATCTGTGTAATTTCCGCTTCTGAAGCAGATGCTTCGAAGGAAAATGTTTGTCAGATGAATGAACAGATGACTCAATACCTTTTTTTCCCTTTCCTAACACCCTCAACCTCACACACTGAAGACCTTGAGTTTACCCCTAATCCAGGGAGCCCCCTTGCCTGCTCCTCATAAGCACTGCCATAAGCTGTGTCTTATTTATACAAAATATTTCAAAATACAGTTTATCTAGAACATATTCCTTTTTTCCCCCAAATGTGTCATTATATTTAAGTCAGTAATGCTGACTCACACAAAAAAGAAAAAGGTGTCTCACCCTGTTCCCAAATTTAAAATTATATTAGGAAAAAGTGTGTGGTTGATGAAAGCTTACCCAAATGTCAGCCATGATGCATTCCAAAAGTTCTATTATTACCCTGTAAAGCTATCCTGAAGATCTGTGACAGAAAGTATATATACATAGACAGCATATACACTGTGAGTATCAAAGTTTTTTATTTGGTTTTAAGCCCTTAGGGTTTTAGTGGGAATTTAGCGTCATTTTCTATTAAAAATATCAACATTTCCACTTTAATCTAAAGGCTGTGGAAACATCATTCCATTTTGCTAATTATTTTTTTTCCATAAGGGAACTGAGGATTAAGGATAGAGGTCTTTCATATGTCGGGTAATAAATACACTTAACTCCCTCAACAACCATAAGCTTGACACCATATTTGTAATACACCAGAATTCAAGTTTTAAGTCAATATTTGAATAAATAAATGTCTTGGTAGGGAAAAAAACCAACCCTTCTGGAAAATATTTGTATAGGTGTCTCTCAAACCCTTATGAATGAAATCTCTAGGAAAAACCATAGCAACTGTCTCTTTGCTATTCTAACAAATGTTATTAATTTCCTCACCTGTCAAGAATTTCAGATCTCTTTTTAAACGCATGCCTAAGGAGTCACAGGAATGCCTCAAAATAAAACCTTTAGTTCTGGACTGTCTGTATATGACAGGAAATTTGTAGGAAAATCCTTCCTGCCACAATAGATGGGCCATTATGGTAGCTCCTGGCAACTCCGTTGAGGGAGTACCCTCCCTCACATTTGATTTTAGTGACTGGGATTTGGGAAAATGGTATCAGTGAGTGCCAGTTCCTACTAAACTTTAGAATGTACTTTACTAAGAACACAAAGATTTCCTCAGTGATATTTCAAGAAGGAAAAATATTCAATTGGAGGACTTTTTGTGAGAATTACAAAGATTATAAACACTACCCTTCTCTTCCCTTCAATTCTGAAAGGTCTTAGTTATGGACTGCTACTAACTTCCATAAAGGAAGGCAGTATTCTGATGTTCTGTTTTCACTCCAAACTTTCCCCACAATGAAAGAGTAATAAAGACCAGGTACTTACAACAGAATTTCCTGTTGTCATTATGAAATGTGTCTAAGCTTCAGCACAAGGCAAGTCAGCATAGAAGGATACTGTGCACTTGTCTATGCAAAAGCCAGTGTAGCTAAAATTAATTTTATGGGAAAATGTATTCCAGGCCCGAAATAAATGTTCACCACAAAAAGTATGTTCATGAGTTTGGATCTGCTTATGGTGGCTTTGGGCATGCATAAACCATGAAAATATAAGGGGCTACAGTTGGTTGGTTTAAAAGAGAAACAAAATCAAGATCAACAGGAACAATAAATCAGATTCTTTGACAAGGTTATACTTTCAAAAAAATCTTGAATAAAGTTGAAATAATACTTTCATACTTTCATAATTTCTTCATAAATCGTTTGGGGAAGGACACTTTAAGTATGCAAACTTAAAATCAAGGTGAGAGCTCTTGAGGTAAAAATAAAGAAAACATGCCTGCTTTCTGCCATTGTCATGTTATCTAGCATAATCAACACAAGTCAGAAATGTTCAAGATCTTCATTCTGCAAGACCTCTCATAAACAAGGAAACTGAGGCCATGAGGACATGCCATGGCGACTGTTGAGTGGAGAGAGAGGAACTGAGCTGAGAAGAAAGATATTCTGGCTGGAGACATGCAACAGGGCACTTGCAGTGCATTTGGTTAACACCAGGTCAGGCACTTGCTTTACATGCAGTTAACCCTGGTTCAATTCCTGGCACCACCACCAGAAGTAACTTCTGAGCACAGGACCTGGAAAAGTCTCTGAACATTTTCTGGTGTAGCCCCCGAACATCACCCCTGCAAAGGGAAGAAGGGAAGAAAGAGAGAGGGAGGGAGAGAGAGGGATAGACTAAGAAAGAGACTCCCTTAGGGAGATCCTCTATAAACCCCTTCAAGATATTTCCCTGCTACTTGTTCCCATAACATCTCAGGCTTTGAAACGCCCAGTGCATCTATAAGCATTTGTTTCAGATGTGTCTTTCTGGGGAAACAGCCAACAATATGAACACCAGTTATGTCCCATCTTAGAACTTAGAACAGAGCCTGACCCATAGGAGGGTCTCAAGAATAGTCACTGAGTGAACTGCTGAGTCAGTGGAAAATACAGAATGAGGAATAAACAGGTCATGGAGATATTTATATGAGAAAGTCAGCACAGGTGGAAAATGATTATGATATGACAAGGCATGTGTGGTTGAATTCCAGCTAGAAAACACTAAGGTAGTGCAAATAAGGAAGTAAGGAATAATATATAGCTCCCAGTGATCCTAGCTTTTAAAAGACATTCACATTTACTGCTATTTTAATTTGCTTTTGTCATGTTATCAAGAATTAGTTTGACACTTTGGTGGCAGTGGTGTTCAAAAACTTGTGCATTAATTCCATCATTGAACACTATGGTAACCCTATTACTTAAACTTTAATTTTAAAAAATTTTAAGAAATAATTAGTTTAAAATTTTGACAATTTTAAATAATGATCTGAAATTTTAATTTCTATCATGAGCACCAATAATTTTATTTTTAAATTTAATTTATTTATTGCTTTTTTGGGGGTCACACCCAGCGATGCATACAGGTTACTCCTGGCTCATGCACTCAGGAGTTACTCCTGACGGTGCTGAGGGGACTATATGGGATGCTGGGAATCGAACCCGGGTCAGCCACATGTAAGGCAAACACCCTACCCACTGTGCTATTGCTCCAGCCCCCAGTCCCTATAGTTTAAGTTTTCTATTTGTTTGAAGGTGACTGGCAGCAATGGCTAAATAAGTGATGCTGCTAATTTACCGCCAAAGATCAATTTAGCACATCAGTATCTATTTCCTTAGGACCCATTATTTTAAAGAATATTAAATATTTCCATATCTCACTATTCTGTTTCTGTCTGGTGAGGGAAGGTGGCAATCAGAGATGAACTCAAAACAATAAATCTTCACATATTCCTGTTGCATAAGAAATAATGCATTTAATATGTTACATGGACATAATTTCATAGAAAGAATATAAGCAGCCTTGAAAGTGATCACCTGAGTATCAATCTCCTAATTTAAGTCACTAACACATAGTTATTTAACTTTATCCTCCATTACACTACTTTCAATAAATACTTCAAGAATAAGTTCCTCCCCCTCTGCCCCCATCCAGAGGAAACAAAAGTCTTCCCTGCAGAAGAAAACTCTCATGCTCAAAGAAATAAAGGATCTCAAGGGGCCAGAGCAATTATACAACCGGTAGAGCATTTTGCCTGGCATACATCTGACGAGGGTTGGATCCTTGGTACCCCTTGTGGTCCACTGAGCCTGTCAGGAGTAACCCCTGAGCACAGAGCCAGGAGTAAGCCCTGAGCTTCACCAAGTCCAGCCCAAAAGGAAACAACAACAACAACAACAACAAAGAAATAAAGTATCTCCACAATTTATAATAATGAGTAATTAACGTAACCACTTGGTTTCATGAAAATATTTTCCCAATCTGAGTGCTGAGTTTCTCTATTTGTGTTGTGTCCAATGTGAATGATCACTTGCAACGATAAAACGTGAAATACCAAGGCAAGTGAGGGTAAATGGACCCTGAATTGGGACTCTCACATTTCAACTTTCTTTTTGCTCCCTTTGCCAAGCAGAAATAAAGATGTTATCTTAATCCTAATGTATTTGACAAGCACCAATTTTCACATTAAATTACTGTCTGGCCTTTGTTGAGGTGGAATGCCCTTGAGTTTTGAGTCACGAAAGCACCTTTTTGTCAAGAGAGCTTTCTTGATGTCAAAACAAGTTCAAAGGGGTAGAAAGATAGTATGGCAGAGCGGCAGAGTGAGGGGAGACTCATGCCCTGGGCCTCTCACAAAGGCCCCATGTGCTTCCTTGTATACACATGACACCCCCATCAAACACACTCAAGCAAGGACCACACACCACCATATGCCGAAATAGGAATCAGAAGAGTGGCAGATGGAAGGATGATTGTACCTACCTACCGCCCTGCTTTGTTCTAGGCAGTTCTCATATACACTGCTGCACTTGGCATTTCCAGGCTGTATGGACAAGAAAATGGGAAATATTTACAGAGAGAAAACACTCATAAACTTTCAAACAAAATAGTACTCCCAGCAGAATGCAGTTTACTTCCTCTCACCTGAATCACCTGAGAAGCCTGAAGCAGGAACAGGTTTTAGAGGGGTGCATAGAATCCTCATATTGTGCCTGGATTGGGAATTGCAGAGGTGGGTTTGACGGGGGTTGGGGGGAGAGAGAGGTGGGGAAGGGTCGACTGATTGCATATGACCTGGGTCCTCAGGGTGACCAGCTCTGTTTGCGTCTTCCTATTTGAAGACTGAATACATGTCTATTTTGGGTTTGTTTTTGTTTGTGCTTTTGGATCACACCCAGCAATGCCTAGGGGTTACTCCTGGCTCTGCACTTAAGAATTACTTCTGGCAGTGCTCAGGGGACCATATGGGATGCTGGGGATCCAATCTAGGTTGCCTGCATGCCAGGCAAATATCCTGCCCACTCACTGTGGCCTCTGGAGACTTGGCCTCTGGAGACTTGGCCAGAAAGTGTGATTTGCAGGATACCTGTGTAAATACCAGCCATTTCACAAGCCTCTGTCTCAAAAGATTCCCAAATTTACTTGGTCTTTTCAGGAAAAAAAATATATATATATTTCACCCCTTGGAAATTTTCCTTCTTAGTCCACCCTTCTTAGCTTAGAGTCTACCTAACCCTGGTTGGTGGACCGGAGCCTTTCTCTACTGCCACTTGTTCCAAGTCACTTTTTATTACTGACAATTTCATGCCGCCAAAGGACTTCAATGATGCCTTATTCAAACAGCTCACTTCAGTAACAAGATGAGGATGCACTGGTGCTTTGGAGAGATGGATCAGGATCCTACCTGAGATGGATCAGGTGGTGCAGGATAGGAAGGCATGAGGGCATGAGGGACGAAAATAGACATGAGAAAGAGACATTAAGAATCATCTGAGCAAGTGAGGGCCAGAACTTTGAAGGATGCAACAGAAATGGAAAAGGTTGGAAAAAGAAAAGGAAAGGAGTCAAAAGATATTTTCAGACATTCCTAGGTTTGGAAGACTGGATGACATGGGCACAAAGTGTAAGAAAAACAACAGATTGAATTGAGGAAAGCATGGCAGTACTGTTAACAAACGAGAGTGAGCCAGAAGAGGACCCTGGGTTAGAGTGAAGGAGAAAATGCTGAGTCGTGTAATGTTCCAGCTACTAAGCACAGACCAGATCTGAGAACTATAGCGTGGGCAGGGATGCAGAAAGAAACACAGTGTATTCTAGAAATCTGTGGGTGCAAGGAAAATGCAAAGAAGGTTATTAGCTGTTAGTCGGGTTGTTGGAGTTGAAGTTTACTTGCACAAAGAGGGAAAAACTATGAGAGAGAGAGAGAGAGAGATTAAAATTTAAAAAAAAAAGGACCCCAAGTTGGCAGGCGGGGATGAGATCCAGAGGTTAACTTTGGTGTCAGTAGCTGAGAATCACAGAGCACAAAGGAAAACGCAGAGACCGGGAAGCTGGCGAGAGTGTATTGGTCCGAGCTAGTCTTTCCAGTGAAGTTAGCTCTGAGGTGTCCTGCTGAGGTCAGGCTGGGGAATCTGGAGTTTGATTTATCCAATACAGGCACCGGTTACTCTCAGAAATGATTCACTCTCTGGCTCCTCACCCACCGAGCTTTAAACTAGCATTTGGAAACCCTCAAGTTAAACTCCTCAGTAGTAAGGACAGAATTAAATCGCTCACTCCACTGACCTGAAACCATCACTTACCAAATAGCACAACTTCTCACACCGGATGGGGCAGTAAGCCATTTGCTCTGTGGCTTGAACTTTAATACGCATGTCTGAAACACCACCGATGGGCGGCTGTTTCCCTGGGATTTCATTGTAATATTCATGATCTTCTCTCTCCTCACCATGTGAGCCTTCAGTATGCACTTCCTCACTGTAGACGAAAGAAAATAGGACCCCCAAGGGCAGACAGAATTCAAATGCAGTCGGGGAGACAGAGGATTCAGAACTACTCAAATTCTTCGAAAAAAATTTTTTGCCTTGATGCTTCAAGTTTAAAGCTGTGTTTAAGTGTTGCCAAACATCTGGATGGAAGCAACCAGATGTTTGAGATGTTTCGCTTTCTGTAGACAATTAAAGTGGAGGGAGCCAACAAAAATTGCCAAGGGCGATATTTCTGTGTCATTCTCTAGTGATTTTATATATATGTGTGTGTATGTAGCATAGGTACATACATTATATACACATATGTATATGGACATTGTACACATATAGTAATACATATGCATATATTATGATAGCTCTGAATGTAAAACACTTGTACCAATAAATATAAAAACATAATTTTTTTCTGGACATCTCCAGAAACTTTTATTGTTCCATTTTGAAAATGCTCTGCTCAGAGAAAGTTTAGATATTATTCTTTGAGCAGAGTGCCTGATCCAGTTACTCCGCCAACAAAGAAAAGAGAATAAAAGAGCATAGGCCAACTGTCCTGTCTGCACAAATCTGGAGGAATATATGGGATTCATAAAGACATATTAGAACCACATGTGGCAAGCGGGTAGATTTATGTAAACATGCATTACTTTAAAAATTAAAAGAGAGCAAAAAAATAAACAGAACTTTTCTTCCAAATTGGAATTAGTAACTAAGTTTTATATAAAAAAAAGCATAAATCAAGTCCTTTTGGATTGAACTGATTCCATCTACAACCCACAGGGTTTTTGTCAGACTCATGCATGAATAGAGCAATTGCTCCAAAATGTGGGTCTATCCTGGGAAAAAGTCAATAGCAAGGCCTTTGTGTAACCGCGTTCCTGTGCTACCCTCCACCACCTCATAAAGAGTGCTGATGTCTTGAGTCATGTCATCTTCAACCCCTGCCTCAGTCTAGCAGCAGTGAATCTATTTACTAAGAAAACCAGACATTTGAATTCTTATGATCTTTTTTTTGGTTTTGTTTTGTTTTGTTTTGGGTCACATCAGGTAGTGCTCGGGGTTTTCTCCTGACTCAGGGCTCAGGGGAGTATATTGGGTGTCAGGGATCGAACCCAGGTCAACTGCGTACAAACCTAGTACAATTGCATTATACTATTTATAGAATTGATGGTATCTATCTGCTGTATAATCGTTCCAACCATTAAATGTCATATTAGTTTTAAAATGAAAAAAATATATATGAAGTCAAGTTATAGGACTCTTGGCTGACCTTTCACAAGAGGTATTCAGAGAAGAATTTTTCAAATACTGTTTAAACCGGAGTTCAAAAGCTTGCCCAATAGTACTGATGACATCTTGGGCCATTCCGTTCCGGCATTCCAATATGTGGCAGGCTGCAAAAAGACACAGAAGAAGAATATTATAGTAAATTTTCAGTAGGAGATAATTATATAGAGTCAAAATCCTCCCAGAATGTGAACTGAAAACAAATTCAAAGGAAGCAGATTTACAAACTCTTTTCAACTCTGAGCTCTGGTTTATACAGATAAAGTTTTATTTCAAATGCATCAGAAAGGAAACATTGATATCTCACCTCAAAATATGTACATATTTTACATATCAATATACACACATATTTATCTACAAAATTTGAGGCAGGTATTTAGGGTCCATGATTTTATAAAAGTGAACTGATCTTGAGTTCTCTTAAAACTCATGTTTAGTATCAGCTGTAAAATTCCACACAGTAAATGCTTAAGGCAGCAAACTGACAGGAAGATGAGATCCTGGCTTTGCATGATACCCCCAGAGATCTAAAAAGATCACTTTTCAGCCCACTTCTCCAAAATGAGACTGAGTTGCTAGTGAAAAGGAGGTGTTAAAATACTTCCCACTTCAAATCAACCCTCAGTCTAGGCATCGCTACTCTCAGTTAATAATGATCTTCTGCACTTTCAAATGCTACTAAAAGGTAAAGGAACAAACATGATAACCTCTTAGTATCTGTGTTTCAGACCATAATGCCCAGAAGGGGAGAGGGAAAGGGGTAGGGGGAGATAGGGAGAAGAAGAGGGAGAGGGAGAGGGAAGAAAGGGGAGAGGAAGAGAAAGAAAGTGTCATAGAGTCATAGAGGCAAGCTGGTGGGGGGCAGCGGGAGAGAAACCAGGGTCATTGGTGATGAAAATGGACACTGGTGGAGGGATGGGTGTAGGATCATTGTATGACTGAGACCTGATCATTAACAGCTTTGTAACTATGTATCTCATGGTGACTCAATTAAAAAATATAATTTTTTAAAAAAAATGCTACTAAAGAGCTATCACCAATACCCATCAAAAACATGGCTTTTATGAAAATAACATCACAAAGCTATTTGTGTCTATACATATTTAAATCAAAGTTACTTCATCGGATAAGCAGTTACTGAACAGGGGCCAGATTTTACAAACAACTTAAACTGTAGAAAGCGATCTAATATTAAAACAACCAAGAAAATGTGTTACTGATACATAAAAATAGGAGATTATGTCTGGGGACTATTAATGAATCTCCCCACTCTATGAAATACCATTCTTGCCTTGGTTAGAGTATGGTGTCATGCTTAGGAGCTGACAAGATAAAGATATAACTGAAATTAAAATTGAAGTTTTATAAAGATGTCATAAAGTTCTAAGGATGACTTAAAGATAGAGGCAAAATAAGTCTCATGAGCACTTATGAAATTATGAGAAAGTTCTTTTTCTGGACCATGTGTGGTATGCTGGGAATGGAACTCCAGTCAGCAGCATGAGCCCTGCCCGATGTAGTATTTTAGGTGTGGTTCTGAGTTCTTCCCATTCCACCTGTAGTCACCCAGTGTCACAGCCCTATCAATGGGAAATCAGTGAAAATTTGAAAGTAGGGTGATTGTTTTTTTAAATTTTATATTAAAAATTTTTCATCTGGTTTCCAAATTGGGGAGTCAGACAAGAAGCTGAGAACAATGAGTAGAGGATGCCAGACCCTTTCATTTGTTTTTACGTATTTACTTTGGTTTGAGACCATCCCCGGCCATGCTCAGGGGCCGTCCCAAGCTCCGTGCTGGGGGGTGATCCCTGCCAGGGGCCGCGTATGGTGCTGAAGATTCAAACTGAGTCACGACCAATACAACTGCCTGCAAGGCGAGCGCCTTACCCCCCTGCACTCCCTCCCTGGCCTTCCTGAGGACCTTCTAATAAGACTCTGGATTTGTTTTTAATAAGCAAATTTTGTATTTGCTTGTTTGGTGAGTTTGCGTTTGGTTTTGCGGCTAGAAACCTAGAAATTCTGAGTGCATCTTCTCAGATACACCACTAGATGGTGGTATGTGATTAGAGCACAGAAGCCGTGACTCCCCCCCCCCCCCCCCCACCACCCCCCTTAATCAGAAACAAGACCTAAGGAGAGAACCAGCAAGCCAGGCCACTGCTACAGCTATGCATTTATTTTATAAACATAAACGAAAACAAACAGGTTATTTTTGGGGGGTCATACCCATTGATGCTCAGGGGTTACTCCTGGCTCTACACTCAGGAATTACTCCTGGTGGTGCTCGGGGGACCATATGGGATGCTGGGAATCGAACCCGGGTCGGCCACATGCAAGACAAATGCCCTACCAGCTGTACTATCACTCCAGCTCCAAACAAGTTATTTTTAAATGATTTTATGTCCGTTTGTGGTGTGTGTGTGTGTGTGTGTGTGTGTGTGTGTGTGTGTGTGTGTGTGTGTGTAGAGATTCAGGATTCAGAACCATGGTCTTGCTATGTCTAGTATGATGGTACCATAACCCATAACCCATTTATCCGTCCAGGTAAACTACAGACTTCACAGACTCAAGTCAAAGAAAATACTTAAACCTTTCTGAAATCCCACACACTGGAAATCTGAAGGGGGAAAATATAAATTTTCTCATTTATGGCAATGACAGGACCAGGCTGTATTAGTCACTAAGTAAACTTAGGAAAATATTCTTATTGGAGCTTACTGTTTTTCTGCAGAAAAGGCCTTTTTATAAAAAGAGAAGCTCACAAAAGGGTCATAGCCAAGAAGGAAAAAATGTGGCAATTGCCCTCACTGGACTAATAACAAAGAATCAAAAGACTGGGAGACAGTGGAAAGACTAAGGATTATTAGAAGGGTCCCTGGCTCTCCTGGTCTCCACTTCCTGCATCCGCTGCTCCTCATCCCTGAAGTCTGGATCCTGTCTTCACCCATCTACCCAGCCTGAGCTTTCCAAGGTGACCAAGAGCCTGTTTACTGCAGGACTAAATCACAGTTTTCAAATCATTCCATGTGTGAGGCTCGGGGATTCCTGCTGGAGAAACTTACTCTTCCTCCTTCTGATTTTCATTTTCTCTCTGCCTACTTGCCCTGCCATCTGCTTCTTCACCGACTGCTCTGACTTACTTCACTGCCAAAGACCCCAAGCTCTCTCCTTTCTGGCTTCCTCCCTCTGTGCTCTTACTCATTCTTGGATCAATGAAGTTGCAGTTCACCTAAACCTGCACCTGAGCATAAAAAATGTCCGTGTGCCTCACCCCTCCAGCACACACCCCATACACACACACCACTGAGTCTTGTCTTCAGATCAGCACACACAAATGTATACACATACACACACAAACACACATACACACAGAGAGAGGAATCCAACTCACCAGATCCTCTGATAATAATGCCTTTCATGTTTTGTTTTGTTTTAGTTTTTTGGAGGGGTCACATTCAGCAATGTTCGGGACTTACCCTGGGTTGAGCACTCAGGAATTACTCCCGGTGGTACTCAGGGAACCATATGGGATGCTGGGGATCTGATCCAGGTCAGCTGTGTGAGGACAAGTGCCTTCTCCTCTGTACTATCTCTCCAGCCCCATTAAATTTTTTTTATTACAAATATAATAAATATTCATTGTAGAACTTTAGAAAATAAAAAGAACCCAAACAAAATAACGACTGAATTTCACTCTCCAATGATAACTGCTATTGATATTTTGACACAGTTTTTCTAATCTTTCTTGTACGGTTATCTGCAAAAAATTATCTGAGGTCACCCCATACATACTGATTCAGAATTTCCTTTTTAAAAAAACAAATTCCAAGTTCTGTGCTTAGGAATCATTCAGGGGATTATATATGGTGCAAGGGATTAAACTGGAGGTCAACATGTGCAAGGCACATGACTTAACCCCTATGCTATCTCTCCTGCCCTCATAACTTTCATATTGCATGCAATTCAAGCTGAAGATTTCCCCCAAGTTACTATATATTCTTCTATAACACTACCCTTAATTGCTACATAAGGGTACACTCAGTAGTTCATTTAAATAGCTGCCTCTTAACGAATATTGATTACATTTAGTTTATCGATTAGATCAATGACAATGATCTTTATCACTTAGCTTTTTCCCCTATTCTAATTATTTCTTTAGAAATGAAATTTGGTTGGTTCAGAAGTATTGACATTTTTTATGCTTGATGCAAATTTTCAAACTCTTCTCTAAGACATTTAGATCAACACTCTCAACACTGGTGTTCAAGAGTCATCATTAATATAAGTGACAATTGACCTGTTTTTCAGTATTTCTGATTTGATCATGAATTAGTACGCTGAATTATAATGTGTGTTCCTTTGCTAATAATGATGTTCAGTTTTTTTAAAAAAAATTATGATTCTTGGTGCCTGTTGTTCTTTAGCAAAGAGGTCTAGAGTTCTTCACCCTATTTACTGGCTGGGGGAGCTTAGGAAAGCCACATTAAGTTCTCAACTCCAGTGTTAGTGAGCATCTACATAAAAGGAATTATCACTGTGCCCTCGCAGGGTTATTGTGTGACAGAAGAAGACAATCCAGGCAAAGAATTACAGACCAGCTTGTGGCATTCAGAAAGCTTGCAAAGGAAAAAGAAAAGGTAGTTGCACCACCATCACACCACACACACACACACACACACACACACACACACACACACACTCCTCTTCTTCTATAGGATCATTTTCCTTTTTGTAAAAATACTCATTTCTTTTCTTTCTTTTTTTTATTATTATTAGTGAAACACCATGAGGTACAGTTGTAGATTTACAAATTTTTGTGCTTGGATTTCGGTCATACCATGATCAAATACCCATCCCTCCACCAGTGCCCATTTTCCACCACCAGGATAATATCCCTCCCCCCCATCCCCCCATCCCCCCTGCCACTGTGGCAGGGCATTCCCTTTTGTTCTCTCTCTCCTTTTGGGTGTTGTGATCAGCAAAAGAGGCATTGAGTGGCGAACATGTTCAGTCCAGTCTACTTTCAACCTGCATCTCCCCTCCTGGGAGGATCCTCCAAACACCCTCCATTTGGTGCTCCCTTTTCTATCTGAACTGTCCTTTCCCCTAGAATACCCGGCTGGCCTCTAAGCTATGGAGTAATCCTCCTGGTGTTGATCTCAGCTATTCTTGGGTATTAATCTCATATTTTGTTAAAAAATACTCATTTCTTTAGTGGCAAGTCACCATTTTAAATAACACAGGACAATAAAAGCTACTATTTATAGCAGATTTCCTATCATCCCGGCATTGAAATATTTGCATTGCATACAATCTCTCATTAAGCACTCAGGAGCATCAAGCTTCTATTTCTTCACCAGCTATCAAAAGTTCTATCAGTTCACAGTTTGGTCCAAACTATCCCACCCTCTCGAGGGTAGAACATGAACATGAACCCTCCTGCCATGATAAACAGATGATTTTCAAATTCAATTCTACAGTTTATGGGCTGATTTTCTGACCTCCAGCATCACTTGTACAGATACAAGTGCCAAAAATCATCATTGCAAAATTTCAGTGGAATACCAAATGTCAGAATAATTTTTCAGAGTGCAAATTCTTCAATGGCCCAAGCAATCTTCCAGAAGGCAGAACCCCCGCAAACAGTCAGGCCTATTTTCAGCTTTGGTTCCCCTAATTCTTACTCTTTCCAATCCCTATACCCTCCCTCCTCCGCACCTTTGCACACACTCTCACACTCCATCCCAAATACACAGTCCCAGGCCAGATCATACTACAGCTCTTTTACCTGGGCCTTTATTTATTCCACGCCGACTTCAACCCTACTATGTGCTGAACTGTTTTTACATTCCCCCTTTTCTAGAACACATTCTACAGGATATGCTTCTCCTTCCCCCTAAGTAATGAGCCCATGGTGGCTAAAGAGGATTTTTCTTCCAGTGATTAGCCTTTCACAGATTGGCATGCCTTGAATAAGGGTGTGTCACTCAGAGCTGTGTCAGAAGCCTGAGCAGGAACAGAAATGCAGAGGCTGAGGGGATAGAGAATCTTAACACTAGTGGTTGAGCAAGCAGTGGGTATATGAGGAGAACATAACGCGGCTCCTCGGGTCTCTCTAACCAAGACGAACAGGAATGAGACGAATGGGCAGGGAAAGGGGCACTAAGTGGCAGCTATTAACTTCTCAACTCACAAAAATCATTCTGTGTTTCTAAGTCAGCTACCAGAGACATGTTTCCGAGGAATTTTCTAGGGAGGATAAAAGATGAGATAAGAGAGGAAGGGAAATAATAATTTCCTTGTACCATCTTAGTTATTAATCCTGGCTATTGCAGGTAGGTGTTATAGATCCCACAAGAAGAAATTGAGGGACTGGAGTGATAGTACAGTGGGTAGGGAATTTGCCTTGCACAGGACCCATCCGGGTTCGATTCCCAGCATCCTATATGTTCCCCCGAGCACCGCCAGGAGTAATTCCTGAGTGCAGAGCCAGGAGTAATCCCTGTGCCTCACCAGGTGTGACCCAAAAACAAAAAGAAAAAAAAAGAAGAAGAAATTGAGGGTTAAGTTTCAGTGGGGGTGGGGGAGGGTAACTTGACTGATGTCATATAATCAGAGGTGGTAGACGAATCTGGGTTCTTGCCTGGTCTCACTTCAGAATCCTCCTTACATATACTGACTGGGGACTTTGAAAAAACAGAAAGAAAAGAAAAGAAATGTACCAGAAAATTTTAGTTGGTTTGTTTTCTGTGTCCATTCTTTTCCTAACTCTCAAATTCTAACCATTTTGTCAGCTGAAGCACTCATAAAAGCCTTCTCAGAATCACCCCTCCCCCAGGACATTCCCAGTCTCAGAATGCCCAGAGCATCCCCAGGGGTCCTCTTCCAGCAGCTCTGCTCTGGCCTCAGGGCAGGAGCTTTCAAGGTAAGGGAACTATATCTTTGTCTCTGCCTCTGCTGTTTCACTTAAGCAAGGGGTGGGGATGTGATTTGTAGGCACCAGGTTTCTGCTTGGCCATCAGCCTTAGCAATAAACATTAATCTTTGCACTCATCACCATCACAGAGTCTGACATGCCCAGAAAATTTGATATCCGATGACAAGTCACTAAATATAAAGATGTCCTCATCAATCTGTTCACCCTTTCCCTCAAGTCCTTTCCAGGTTGGGAGAAAGGTTTTCTCGACTTTCCCACATAGATTTCAGTTCTTCTTTTCTAGGAATTTTCTCTTGTATGTACAGTGGTGGGGGAGAGCCCGGAGTTACACTGGGCTACTCCTGACTCTGTTCTCAGGGGTCACTCCGGCAGTGCTCAGGGACCCATATGTTTTGCCAGGATTGAACCAGGGTCAGCCACATGCAAAGCAAGCACCAGAGCCCTGTACTACCTCTCTGGTACTCTGTGCAGTGATTCTCTGGCAAGACTAAGGCAGTAATTAGAAGAAGTTGCTCCTTTCTGATGTCCTTTGTTGCTGTGTTTTGCTCCTACACCTATTAATCCTCTTCACTAATTCTTGTCTCTGCTTCTCTCTTTTCAGCGATTCTTTTTTCTGCATTTCACTGGAGTGCTGCACAGCATTTATCACCTGTGTCGTTTCTCTGAGCCATATTCTTTTGGCAAGCATTAACTGAGCATCTACTTTTGTGCCAGCTTCTGTTTCAGCAGCTGCCTCTCATGATTTTGTTTCTGACAATTCCAATAATTTCCAAATGAATCTCACTGCCTTATGTTCCCCTTGCTTGATCTACTGCACCCTGTTGCCAAATCAATCTTCCTAAAGATCTGCTTTGTAAATGTCACTCTCGAGCTATTTGCTCTACTTATTGGCTCTGCCCAACAAGTCCTCTTGGGTGCCTCTTGGACTTTTCTTCTCTCTTCGCAATCTACATTCCAGTAAGCGTGCCTGATCCATTTGCCCCACTAACACACCATGTGCATTTCCATCTCTTTGTCTCAGAACTTTTTAAAGGTCCCAATTCCACTTACTCTGTGCATAATAAGGTTCCCAACTCTGACAAAGGATGACAACCAATTTGTAGGTTCTAGTCAAGGAGGAGAATTGATCTAATACTCATCCCTAAGGAGAGTCTCAGGATCCCGAATGTACAGATGGGGCAATCCAATGGCCTAACAAACCTCAGGCCCTTAACCAAAGTTTCTTATGTCATCTTGTTAAATCCTGAGACAACAAATTCAATCAACTCCATCTTTCATTAAACAAAAAACACTAAGCATCATCTAGTGGTTAGACATTGTGATCAAAGCCTGGGAAACAAACAGTGAATAAGATAGATGAGTTTCTGCCCTCATGGAGTTTTCAGAAGAAAGGACAGACATAAATACATCAAGAAGTTAGTGACTAAAATAACAGCCATGTAAGATAAGTCTTAAGAAGAGAAACCTGAGCCTGAGAGACAGTACAGAGGTTAAGGAACCTGCCCGGCATAAGGCTAGTTGGAGCCCCAAGAATTACACATGGTCCCCAAGCAATGCCAGGAGTGATCCTGAATACAGAGTCAGAAGTAAAATCTGAGCACAGCTGGATGTGGCCATAATTCTCCACTGCTCAAAAAAGAAGAGAAATCAAGTGTTGATGATGCAGTAGGGAAAGATGGGCAGCAGGAGAGGGGAAGTGCTGAGAGTCAAAGAAGGTACCTATGGAGACAATTAAACTGAGCTCCAACTTACCAGGTCCTTAAACAATTGTTCAAGCTACACACACACACACACACACATACACAGCAAGCAATGTCCAGGCTAGCAGAGGCTAATAACCTCATTGGCTTGGACTTTAGATACCACTCACTTCTCCATTGGCAGTCAACCCCTTCTACTAGAATCAAATACCATCCTGTCATTCACAAAAATAAGAAATAAGCTTTTTGGTGTAAGGGTCTCTCAAAGGAGTAGAATTGAAAATTTACATGTACATCTGTGAATTGCTCTGCTGGCAAGGCTACTCATTTCCAACTCAAATACACATCATATTTCTAAAAATCCAATATAGGACTCCAGTGATCCCCATCACTGTCCACTGAAAATAACCACTTGTTACTTTTCAAAGTTGGTGTATAATAGCGCTTAAGAAAATCTGAAAGTTGTTTTCCATACCTCGTTGATTAACTGGATCTTTAGCTACATAGGCAACATAGTCTGTGGTATCCTAAGGGGGAAAAAAGAGGAAGAAAAAATAATTGAATTTAAAATAAATTAATCGTACCACTGAAAAATAAGAGTAAATTTAGGACATGATATTTAGGCAAAGATGTAAATAGTATGTTTTGATTTAGAGAGAGAGGGAGAAAGGAGAACTTAGGAGAAAACAAACATGGACTATACAGTTGAGCAGTTAACACATATTCTCTGCCTTATGGGGACAAAATGAGAAGATTAAAACTCTTGAGGCAGACCATGATACAAAGAATAAAAAGCCACACAAGCAAGGAATGTGTTTAAAAGCATGTCTTTTAAGGTTAGGAACCATGATTGCCTTTTGTGTTAAAAACTAAAATTCCAGGAGCTGGAGAGATAGCACAGCGGGTAGGGCATTTGCCTTGCACACGGCCGACCCGGGTTCGATTCCCAGCATCCCGTATGGTCCCCTGAGCACCGCCAGGAGTAACTCCTGAGTGCAGAGCCAGGAGTAACCCCTGAACCCCTGTGCATCGCCGGGTATGACCCAAAAAGCAAAAAAAAAAAAACCACTAAAATTCCAGAAGTCACGCAATCACAAAGATGCAATAAATTACAATTTTTCAGATGACCTCAGAGATACCAAGTGAGACAGAGAATAAGTCAATAGAAGAGATATTGCGTCTTCCATTGCTCTGTGTGTGTGAAGTGCATGCAAACTGGAGGGCTAATAAGGCAAAAAACAAGCATTTGTGATCAATTTACAGAAAGAAAAGATCATTTTTGAAAAGGAGAACCCATGGAGAACCCTAAGGAGATTAAAAGGGGATCTGTTGCCAGTGCAACAAAAACAAACAAAAAGTCACTTGGTAATTCTGACTTTTAGTGAAAACAGTCAGCTGATGAATGATAAGATTTTAATAATTAAAGAAGCTTTTTGTTATCTCAGTTCTTGGGGGAAAAAACCACACGCAATGCCATTTGCAGATGAGAAGTATGACTCTCTGGAGGGAAAATGCAATCAACTGGCAGGAAATAAAAACCCATGTTTGTAAAGCCCTCAAGGACAATCACTTAATAACTCGCAATGAATCATACAGGAAGCAGAACTAAGAGTCAGCATAACTTGTCTTCATTCATTTTATTTTACTTTTTTTCACTTATTAAAAAATAATACCTAAGATATAATCACTTTGTGCAAAGAGATTTGATATATCTTTCAAGTAAATATGGTAGTTGCTGTGAACTTGGTTTCATGAGTCTAGTATCAAAGCAGGATTTGCTGTGGGGGGCTTAGCTGCTACCTTTCCAGTTGAAGTAATTTGGTATGAAGTCGTGTGATAAAGACATGATGGGGGAAAGAGACTCAGTTTCCTCATCTTCAAAACAGTTTTCAGGGCAGAGAGAGAGAGAGTAATGGGGTTAATGTGCTTGCCTTAATACAGATAAGCCCAGTTTGATCCCTGGTGCTGCATATAGAGCACCCCCACGAGCACCACCAGGAGTGAGACCTGAGTACAAAGCCAGGAATAGCCCCTGAGCACTGCTTGGTTCATCGATTTATGGTTCAAAAGCAAAAACAATGGCCGGAGTGATAATAAAAAAACATCCCAGCAGGTAGAATGTTTGCCTTGCACGCAGCCGACCCAGGTTCAATCCCCGGCATCCCATATGGTCCCCCAGCACTTCCAGGAGTGATTCCCAAGTGCAGAGCCAGGAGTCACCCTTGAGCTTGAGCATCGCCGGGTGTGACCCAAAAAGAAAAAAAATGAATAAATAAAACTATCCCAACATCCTTATAGTCTTAAGATGCTAAAATGATCAAAATCTAAAAGATGATAAAGCATGTTCAAAGTAAAACTCAAATAATGGGGGGAAATAGATAACAACATACTTGATCCCAACATTTTCCTAATGCCTGGATGATATGGAGAACACATCTGCAGATTCAGAAACATCACTCCAAATTTTCCTCAGGGCTAATGGATGGCCGGAAAATAATTGGATTTTGAGTAGCAAGTCAAGGTGAGAGAAAGCAAAGAATGAGGAAGGTTTCAAATTTTGGAGGGTATTTGCTAGAAAGAAGGATCCTACACTGGACGCCCTCGGCTTTTAGCTTCCTCCTTGGGTCTGGTTAACTATGAGATGGCAAATTGTCTCAGGCAGTGATTTTTAGAGAATTCAGACGGTCCCATCTGGTCACTCTGCCAGGCCCTGTGGAATAGTTCACATGCTTCCCACAGCACTTTAAAACAAGGCTGACCAACCCCCATCCATCAGACAAGAGCTTGAAGGGGGACATAAGCCAAGTCTACTTATCCCTAAAGTCAGGCACTCAAAACTTCACTCAGCAGACCTCTACTGTCAAGACATCTATCTGGGTGGCTCTCACTTTCTATTTTCAATCCAAACCAGTGAGCTTTCTCACAATTCTCTACCAGGGGTTCTACATAGACCTGGTGCTTTGGTACGACAAAGGAACCTCAGAACAAAAAGCTCATGGAGACATTCTGAGAAGTGTTAGGATTTTGGACCAGGGGAATAGGCATCAGGCAGGCCAGCCAAAAGTCCATGAGGTTGTGTGTACTGCTCTGAAAATGACAGCAACCCACGAAACTTAAAACGGGAAGCGTGAGGCTGACAGCAATGATATACTCAATGACACTCAGAACTCATTACTTTAAATATCCTAGAGAAACTATTTGAGATCCTCCCTGGGTAACCGATCCCTAATTAGGAGAAGACACCATGCTGGCCTTCCCAGCTGGATTCAGTCCCCTCCTCTCTGTCACCCAATGTGAATGTCCCTTTGTGTCACCAGGAAGACAGAATACAAGGCTGGAGGAGGTTCTGCTGGTATGAGGTTCGCACTCTGCTAAGTGTCAGGTACCTGGCAGGCCCCTATCAGAGACAGAAGAGAGCTCTTAGAATTCATTTGCATCTGCAACAGAGGGCTAGTAGGGGGTTCCCAAGCTGGGCTTAGGAGGTCCAGGGGCCCCCATAGAGATTCTCAATCAACCAAGCAGTCGGCTCAATGCAAGGTCCAAGGATGAGATGCTGCTCACACCCTGAGGTGCCTGGGATGACCCAGATTAGCCCAGCAGTGCTGGGGACTCCAGGGCCACACCTGGGTGCTTCAGGAACCCATTTACTTTTATTTGGGAGTGTCTTCTTTTGTTTCGGTTTTGGGGCTACACCTGGTAATGCTCAGGAATTACTCCTGGCTCTGCACTCAGGAATTACCCTTGGTGGTGTTCAGGGAACTATATGGGGTGCCAGGAATCAAACCCGGGTCTGCTGTGTGCAAGGCAAGCTCTATACCTGCTGTGTTATCATTTGGCTCCCAATTTACTTTTAAATGATGGCACTTTAAAACTAAGATTTTCATTTGAAAATATTTATACCCCAAACTGATTAGTGAAGAATAGTGAAAATTAGGAAAACCAAGAACTTATTGTTAAAATCAAATAATGATATTTAAATCCAGTAAAAGCGAATTTTCTCTCATTTGTTTCAAAGTTCCGAGGTAGACATAAGCATATCTGAGTCTGACAAGCTTAAATACTTTGAGTCAAAGAGAAGACAGGAATTATTGAAATATTCTTAAGGATTGCCAAAGTTAAATAGCTCTTTTTTGTGTGTGTGTGGGGGGGCCACACCCAGTGATGCTCAGGGGTTATTCCTGACTCTGCACTCAGGAATCACTCCTGCAGGCTCAGGAGACCATCTGAGGTCCAGAGACCATACCCAGGTTGGCTGCATGCAAGGCAAGCGCCCTCCCCGCTGTCCTATCACTCCAGGCCTAAAACAGCTCTTGACTATCATTTCATGCACACAAAGTTATCCCAATGCCTTAGTGAAGAAACTTGCTTAAATATTTCTGATGCCAGTAAAGGAAATAATGATTATATGGAGCAAACATAGAGTTTTACTCCTTTTAGGAAAGATAACCATTTTCCTTTGAAATATTTAGCATAAAAATCAAACCGAAACAAAACTTTGCAATGATGTCAAATCTGCCAGATTTGTTTTTACTCTCATCCCATACCTTTTTGGGGTTTCTGGGTGATACATCCTATCATTTATGACCCTAAATTTTATGACTCAATTGAAAGTAATAAACTAAATATAGTAGAAAAGAAAAAAACCCTGTTAGGTTGGATTTTATTGTCTCACTTCTAAAGAATAGAATGTTTAGCGATCAACACTTTGTCAACAAGAAGGTAATATAGTCTCAATAAGAGTCACTGTCACTGTCACTGTCCTCCCGTGTTCATCGATTTGCTCGAGCGGGTCCAGTAACATCTTCATCATGAGACTTGTTGTTACTGTGTTTGGCATATCGAATACGTCACGGGGAGCTTGCCAGGCTCTGCCGTGCGGGCGAGATACTCTCGGTAGCTTGCCGGGCTCTCCGAGAGGGGCGGAGGAATCGAACTCGGGTCGGCCATGTTGGCTGCATGCAAGGCAAACGCCCTACTGCTGTGCTATCACTCCAGCCCTCCCCCTCAATAAGAGTAAGGTTAGCATATTTCCTACACATTTTCTTGCTCTCACCAATATGCAACAGTATGAATATCACACTCTTTTTGGTAGGGTTTTTTTTTTGTTGGGGGTTTCACACCTGGTGGTGCTCAGGGGTTACTCATGGCTCTGAACTCAGAAATTACTCCTAGTGGTGCTCTGGAGACTGTATGGGATGAAGGGGCTCAAACCACAGTGAGACACGTGCAAGGCAAGTGCCCTACCCGCTGTACTATCACTCCAGCAATGAATGTCACACTCTGCCTTCTTTTAGCCTTCTATGCATTCACAGGCATAAATAAATAAATAAATAAATAAATAAATAAATAAATAAGAGCCGGAATGTCACAGAGAAGCAAAATATTTTACCCACTCCCTTAAATAATACATGTGTTTCCTGTTCAAGCACAGACTTCTAAACGTCAGTGCCTCTCTGGTTTAGGAGTGCCCCACTGTGGTGGGGGGTTGGTTGTGTTTTGTTCTGGCAGAGAAATGATGTGAAAGGAAGTCAGGAATGACCCTTCATAGTAGAGAGTGGGTTGGAGAGAGTGCCACCCTCATTACCCAGCTCATGAAGAGGAACAGCTACCCAGCATCTCAGGAGAGGAACAGCAAGTCCCCTCCACCAGTGCCCACCGGCCTGGCTACTCATTCCAGATAAGACATTCTAGGTGGCTTATGCTGTCCGTCAGAATAGCAAACAGGCTTCCCTTCTTGTACCAAATCCAAGTGACTAGTAAGATCTACCTGGAATTTCATGTTGAGAATTCTAAGTCTTTTCGTTAATGGCTTTTTCATGTTATCAACAAGAAATTTAGTGGGATGTTCTAAGGATCAAACCTAGAGCTTCCTACCTGGGAAGCATGCACTCTACCACTGAGTTACAGCCCCAGTCCCCAAGAAACTTTTGAGACTATAATTTCATGACCATTAACCTGACAGTGTTATTAACTCATCTACTCATTAATTTTTAAATCATAATAGTTTAAAAATCAATGATAGAAGTATTTTTTCAAAATTTTTACTATCTGATATATGTATCTGTATAGGCTCTGGGGCAGCTTGGGAAGGCCCTGGAAGCTTTCCCCCTCACTGCCTGCGTTGGGTAGTCTCGGGCTGCTCCTCCAGCCAGAGGTGGCCCATATCATGGGCAGCTGGAGGAGGAAACAGGGGCCAAATAGGTTGGTTGATCAGTTGCCGTTTATTCCATTCTCCCCACACACCTGTTTTAGTCTCTTTGAGCCCCCCATTCTAGTCTCATGCTGCCCCTCATTCTCGTCTCCTCCTGTCTCCCCCGTTCATCTCTCATCTCTCTAGGCTCCATCTTGCAGCGTGGTCTCTCTCTCTCTCTCTCTCTCTCTCTCTCTCTTTCTCTCTCTCTCTCTCTCCAGGCGCCTGCTCCTGAATTCTGCCCCTACATCCTCTCCCTCTCTCCCCCTTGCTAGTCTCTCCATGCTCCATCTTGCTGCCAGGCTCTCTCTCTCTACTCTCCAACTCTCCAGCACTGGGGGTAGACACTATACTTAGTCCAGTAGCAAAATCAACATAAGAAAGCCCTTCCTTTGCTCATGAGCAAAATACCACTTAAGGTGTTTTTCTCCTTACCTCAGTCCAATAACTTAATTAACATCTTAATTAACATCTTAATTCTACTTCTTTATATTAGTTTTTTTTGTATGGACACGAAAAGATAGAATGAGTAAGAGATAGATTGAGCTTGTAAAATGGCTCTCTTGGAAACATCTTGACACAGACTCAGACTATAGCTGGATTAATCATTCTTAACCCTAGTAGGGTCTAAATCTAGTTATTACTTTTTGGATCATGACAGCATTTGTCCATAACTTATAGTTAAGCGTTATGGCACTTTGACCAGGACCATTTTGATGCCAGGGTAACACACAGCTCACAGCTTGCCCTGGGTCCATCCAGTCCCTCATGGGGACCCTACTTTTGGAGTGCTAGGAAGTAAGGGCAACTGGGGCTTAAGTCCAGAGAACAGATGTCCAAGAGGTAAATATCATTTAGAGTCAATTAACTCCCAAGTTACAAAAGCATAGCATGAACTGCCTTCTTGTGCCCATACAAAAAGGACATTGCTCTGAATTAACAATCAAGGGACTTAAGGAGAAGAGAAAAACAATGTTTACAAGTCAACAGAGCACAAGGAAAGAAGTTACAAACAAACACAGAGGAATGGGAGCACTGTGATGGGAGTAACCCAATAAACCTAAGCTCCCTCCAGCAAGACAGAAAGGACAACCCAAACAAACAAAAAGGTCAAACTATCCTACATATAGCTATTTACAAACTATAAACTATATATTTACAAACTATTAAACAATATTTAAGAAAAACCCATGTTGTGGCTTGTAATATGTTTTACATGGAAGTTTCAAAACTCTTAGAAAAAGAACTTTATGAATCAATACTTACGGGATCCCCTCCAGAGGCAAATGAAATAGACTGCATATGATGATTTGCAATGATCTAGAAAATAAACAAAGATGATGTTAGAATCATTTTCTCCTAAGTCATATAACTGAACATGTGGGGGGGGGGTGTGTATGTGTGTGTGTGTTTGTGTGTTTCACCTGCTCAGCATTCTTTTGGAAACCATCCTACTCACATGCCATAATAATTTATCTAGTCCATGAGGTTCAAGTGACTATCATGCTCATTCCATTGTCTTTCTCCTTGAAGATGGATGTAATTCTGGTCTAACCCATTAGAAAACTTCATCACTTGTACACATCAGAGTAAGACCATTTCTAAAAGGAGGAACTGAGATGGATAATCCTAGTGATTCCTCCTCTCTTCATTTAAGGAACAAGCAGGCCAAGGATTCTGGTAGCTACATCTTGGGGCAACATGTGGTAAAGTTGCTTTTAAAAACTAAGCTTTTTCTCTGGAGGAAATCAGAGCTGAGTATTAAGAGAAGACAAAGTAGTTGTTACCTTCATTTCATTACTTCAACCAACATGTTCCACCCTTCCTTTTATCTTTTTCCTCATATAGATTTCCTTTTATCTTTTTAATGTGTTTTTTTTAAATATGAGTTGGGCTTCAGTCTTTAGCAACCTAAAGTATCCTTACTAAAGCCCTATTAAGGCTTCCAATAGGAAGCAAGATTGTCCAAGGGAACTGCATTATTTAACCAAGAAGATGATTTTTTTCATATGTGAGTACTAGGGCTGCCTGTTTGGAAACCACGGTACAGTGACCAATGTGAAGAAAAGTATTTGTTATACTGTTGTGAAGGCTCAGAAACCTTTAAACCAAATGGGAGTCAATTAGTGACTCCTGTCTTAAAAATTATTTAATAGAGTTTCAAAATGACCAAGCAAATTTGCTCTTTATATGCAACATAATTGAGAAAGCATGAGCACCAAAAGATATTCTCAAGAAAGGTAACAACCGCCATCCCTGTTCACTTTTCAAACTGGAAACAATCCCAGTGATGACTGGAATATCCAACCAAGGGACAACTACACAGCAACCTGTTTCTTGCGGGGAGGAGAGGACGAAGGGCAAGGTCAAAGAACACATGCTGCATACTTTAATTGATATAACGTTCAAAAACAGGGGAAAGGGCCTGGTTTTGCTTCAGGTAAGGACTAGTGGTGACTTTTAAGGTCAAGGAAAAGAAAACGTGGTTTCCTTAACTCCTGCCAATAATGTTTCTTGATCAGGTGGTTGTTTCATGAATATGTTCTTTTTGTGATAATCAAGCTGTACGCAGGATTTTTTTCACTCTTCTATACTATTCTCTATATTTATATTTATCTTTCAGTTTAAAATGAGTGATAAAAGACTGGAGAGATAAGTGTATGGGGTAAGGCAAATGCCTTGCAAGTGGCTAACCCTGGTTTTCTCCCCAAGATCATCATGGTCCCCTAAGCACTGCTATCACTACCCTCCACAATGGCTGAATCCAGAAGCAGCATCACAGCCTAGAATTCTTGCATTGGCCCAGTGGGCTGAGCCAATGAACACTGGCCCTGTGGGCTGAGAATTGCTGGGAGGAGGCCCTGGGTCTCATGAACACGGCTTGGGACCCTCTCAAAGAAAAGTTAAAACAAAATCAATACACAAAGATCAATATCATTCTCCTGTATCAGCGTCAGTCAATTAGACACTATGGGGTAGAGAGGGAGGTTTTTGCTTGTTTGGGGACATACCTGGTGGTGCTTAGGATTTGCTACTGGCTCTACACTCAGGGATCATTCCTGGTGAGGCTGGGGAGACAACAGGGGGTGTTGGAAATTGAACCTGATCGACCACATGCAAGGCAAGACATTTTTATATGAGTACCTAAATACAAAACATATACATATTTAGAAAAAAACACCTAAGACTACTTGGGAAATTTCACTGAAGCATATGAATAAGAATTAGATAAATGGAAAGATACACGTTAACTTTAAGGACAAGAGAGTAACATCATAAAGATGTGAATTCTCCCCTAAGCTATTCTAGAAAACTGATTTCCCCCTAAATTTATAATTCCATGTATTTATAAAAATAATTCCACCACGTCATTCAGGAAACTTCTCATGCTGCTATTCAAATTCACTGAAAGAATTAATGGGTGGTAATGGTGGGAAGAAGGCTGAAGCGACAACTCAAAGGGCTGAGCACACGATGCCAGAGGCCCAGAGACCAGAATGCAAAGCTGGGATCAGCCCCAGAGCACTTTGCAGCTTGCCCAACCTCTCCAAATCCAAACAATTTGTTTCTGGAAGTTTTTTAGGGGCTGGAGAGATAGTATAGCGGGTATGGTGCTTGCCTTGCACATGGCCAACCCAAGTTTAATCCCAGGCCCCTGTACTGTTTCCAAGTCCAACAAGGAGGGATCCCTGAATACAGACCTAGAAGTAAACCCTGAACACCAATGGGTGTGGCTTAAAAATCCAAAACACAAACAGAAAAGGGTTTTCTAAAAACAAAAGTTAAGATTTTCTTACATTTAACTAAACACCTACTCATTACCTGTTTTTAAAATTCATACAGAAGACCAAATGTGCAAGAAATGCTATAGCAATTTCTAAAGAACAAAGAGACAAAGGTTTCCCTGTCAGCAGGGCATATTATAAAACTACAGACATTCATTAGAATGCATAGTCTAAAAACAGACTCACATATTCATAGACTTCCAGTCTATGATAAATGTGGCATCACACAGCGGACAAAAGGACAAATGGTTAAATTAGTGAAACTGGCTGAATTTGCTATTATATATAGAAAATATATAAATAGATCCTGTCTTCATACTATTTATAGATATAAATGATTCATAAAAGGGCTATAAAGAACATAAGCAGACAGATAAAAGATTATGCTTGTATTCACGGAGAGAGGAAAATCTATCTTACTAGAAAGAAAAAGGCATACAGTAAAAAGAACTTCGAATCTAATTACAAAACACCTTTGTGTAAGACCCCTGAAAGGCAGAGCATGCTCCAGACCCTGTTTGATCCCCCACATCACACAAGCATGGTCGTGCTGTGGTCCTGGTGGTCGCTGGCACCCCAACACTCCAGCTACATAACAAGTTCAAGCCCTTGCACAGAACCTCTAGCCAACAGAGTGACTGAAAGTGGCCCTGACCCCTAGGCTATTGCTTGAGAAGTTTCTTCATCCCCCAAAGCAAAGACCCCTGAGACAGGACAAATGACCACAGGCAAGAAGAATACATGTATAAAAAATATGCAACAAAATATTCATAGATTATAAGATATTCCTACAGTTCTACAAATCAGTAAAAAAATGAGGCAGTTAATTTTCAGGAGAAATGAAAATGTTTGCTAACCACTCAAAGACAATCTTCAAAAAATCAATACTTCAGAACAAGATGGCATTGAATTTGTGGAACTGCAGAAGTTAAACAAAATCCTACGTGGGTATTTTCAAATAGTATTTAGATAGAGCATATATTTTTACAGAAATTTTGGAGAACAACTTGACAGGATTTATTAAAACAAAATATGCATATTCTATATTCCAGCCCTTTCACTTCTACATATTTATTCTAGGAAAATATTTGTCATAAGGTTGTCACTAGTTTATAGTATCACAAATTGGCTGCTTGTAGGTCAGTTGTGATATAATTATTTGAAGGATTGCTATTAAAATATTTATCTGTACCAACAAACTTTAATATTCAAGCCATTGCTGCAGGTTTGATTTACAAGTTGAAGAAAGTTCATGGAAAACATATAAAACACAAACAGGAGTTTTCCATGAAGATATCAAGAACCTTGCAAACGCAAGTGAGAAGGACTTAAAGAATAAACACGAATAGAGTGATTTCATTCTCTAGACTTCCCCAGGCACCTTTCTCCAGAGAAATGGGCCAAATACCTCATCACTGCAATTTGATGAGCATGGATAATGTAACTTATTTGTGAATGCAATCTTTTTTAACTTTATTTAAACACCCTGATTTACAAAGTTATTCATAATACAGCTATTACAGGCATTCAATGTACCACCACCAATCTCGGCATCAATGTGACCTTCCCTCCATCCACCCTTTTCCCAGTTTCCCATCTATTCCCAAGCCTGCCCCCTCAGCAGACACGAAATTGTTCAGTTTTTATTACTTGTTACATCACACACTAAAATAATTAATATTAATAATTCCCTTTGTCGTGGGGGTTGTTGCTTAGATACATGGGATGGCACATGCATGCTGGCTCTCTGAGGTTGCACAGGCATGCTGATGCTCTAAGGTTGCACAAGCGCTGGCCCTCTGAGGTTGCACAGGCATGCTGATGCGCTAAGGTTGCGCGTGCATGCTTGCCCTCTGAAGGAATGTAATTTTTTTTTAATGAAGAAAGTAAAAGAGCTGAATGGGCTGATTCTCAATGTATTGATAGGGAGAGTTGAGAACACTGCATGACTTGGCGGTATGGGCTCAGAAGACAGGCGGGCACAGACAACGAACGGTTAAAATCTTGGCCTCCCCCGCCCCTTCCGCCCCCCTGGCCGTGCCTGGGCGCGGAGGGAGGAGGAGGAGGAGGAGGGCGGGGGCTGGGGGGACCGGGCGTAACCGTTAGAGACCACCTGCTTAGCAGCACCCTGCGCGGCAGAGGGATGGGCAGAGGCGAGGCCGGAGCGGGGCGGGGCCGGGGTCTGCACGGCCGCCGCCGGCCTCCCGTTCCCGCGCGCCGCACGCCCCGGCCGACCCCCGCGGGGGGCGCCGCGCAGGCGCAGCGGGTCACGCGGGCGCGGGGCGTCGGCGCAGGCGCACGGCGTCCCGCGGCTGCCCCAGCGTCCCCGCGCGCGAGCTCGAGCGCGAGCGGTGCCGGCGCCATGTCGGAGATGAGCGCGCTGTGCGAGCTGTACGAGGAGTGCGCCGAGCTGCAGATGGACGTGATGCCCGGCGAGGGCGACCTGCCGCCCATGGAGGTCTCGGGCGGCGGGCCCCGCGACGCGGCCCCGGGCGCCGGGCGCCTGGAGGAGGAGGGCCCGATGGAGGAGGAGGCGGCGGCGGCGGCGCAGCCCGCGGGGGGCCGCGGCCCGGCCGGCCGGCCCCGCGCCCCCACCCCCGCCGCCGCCGCCGCCGCGCGCCCCGGCCTCCCGGGCCTGGAGAGCGAGGACGAGGCCGAGGACCTGGACGACTGGGAGGACGACTACGAGTGCCCCGAGGAGGAGCCGCTGGGCGGCGCGGGCTGCCGCGTGTCCGCCGCGCTGGAGGAGGCCAACAAGATGTTCCTGCGGACGTCCCGCGCCCGCGAGGCCGCCCTGGACGGGGGCTTCCCGCTGCACTACGAGAAGACCCCCTTCGACCAGCTCGCCTTCATCGAGGAGCTCTTCTCGCTCATGGTCGTCAACCGCCTGACCGAGGAGCTCGGCTGCGACGAGGTCATCGACCGGGAGTGAGCGGCGCGGCGACGCGGAGGAGGAGGAGGCGGAGGAGGAGGAGGAGGAGGAGGAGGAGGAGGAGGAGGAGGCAGCGCTCGAGGAGGGAGACCCGCCGCCCGCGCCTCTGGGCTCGTTCCGCATGGATCGTGCCAGCGAGGAGCGATCTTCGGAGAGAAAAAAACGGTTTTGTTTTGCCTTGTTTTGTTTTGCAGAGTGGGACAAATGGGGCAGTGGCCGCTCAAAGAAGCAACGTTCTGAAGAAAGAAAGAGGATTTTAGGATTTTTTTTTCCCAAGACCGTCCCCACGGCAAAGGCTTTGACTTGGTCATTGATCCAGATTTACTTTCCTTGCGTTGGAGGAGGAAGAAGCTGTCTCACCGTCAGGGCTGGTTATGCAAGAGTTAAGTCATGGCGAGGACGAGCTGCCCGCACAAGAGCCCGCTGATAATCACGATCCAGAAAAATAACTGATGATGCATCCGACTTGGGACATGCAGTGTCTGAGTTATTTGGACTGGAAAGCCTGTTGAGAAATCTGAAGATTCCACTTTGTGATCTGTCCAAGCAGTGGCTAAATCAGAAGGCTAAGTCTTTTTGTGTGAGATTGAATTCGTAATGCCCCGAAAGAATAAGCAAATCCAAAATGAAGTATGTATTATGTGTGCTGTATCTTAAAATGTGCTCCTAAGAGCAGCTGAAATTTAATCTGTACGTGTATCTTGCTCATTTGTGACTTGTAATTAAAGAAAATTCATTGTCAATCAAATTTTGATGTCCTGAATATTCAGATTTAGATATTAAAATGTATGTAAAAGAGCAGAGAAAAAAACCTATTTCCAACACCCTTGAATACTAGAATAATTTCCTGCTTTATTTGCTCTCATTTTTATTCAACTTTGCAGGCAGAAGACTGGTTGAATTTTACATTGTAAGAACAGTTGAGTGAAAATTGTCAAGTCAAAGGAAAACCCCATCTCTGAGGAAAGATTTTATGAACAATTACACCATCAACCTTTTAAGGTTTTAAAACCTACCCATAAATCTACCTTAGTTTATGGTTTCTCTCTTGTCTCCTCCTCTAAGCTTGTTACTGGTTATGCACCAGCATTCAAGATAATAAAATTTCTTGTTCTGTGTATTTTGTTTGACTGATAATATTGCATACACACTTCCCCCCGATTCTTTATTGTACTATGTATTACTGCAGCCACTTTATCTTAGCCACTTTCATAGGGAAAAATATTCTGGCTTCAAATATTTGACTTTAAAAGTAGTATATAAAAATATAATGAATTCTAGAAGAATTACCAACCTAGGGAAACCTGCCTTATCAATGAGCATGTTGCTATGGTTATTTCATTAAGATGCCAATGTTTGATAAGAGTGTCAGAAGACAGAGCCTAGTAAAACAGTGTATTAGCAAATCTTCTAAAAGGTACAAGATACTTCTCTGTATGCCAGTAAAGGACACATATAAAACAAGACAACAACTCAGCTTTTATGTTTTAATTGTGTTATGGCGAGGGAGCTTCTTTCCTGTAAAATAAAGGACAAATGTGGTCATAATCACTCAAATCCTAGGATGGTGGGGAGAATAGTCAGATGGGGAAAGACGTGACAGGATGCTTATTGGTACAGTAGCACTGTCCTCCGGTTGTTCATTGATTTGCTCAAGCGGGCCCAGCAACATCTCCATTGTGAGACTTGTTACTGTGTTTGGCATATCAAATACATCAGGGGTAGCTTGCCAGGCTTTGCCGTGTGGGCGAGATACTCTCGGTAGCTTGCCCGGGCCCTCCCAGAGGGGTGGAGGAATCGAACCCGGCTCAAACGAACCCGGCTCAGACGAACCCGGCTCAGCCGGGCTGGCCGCATGCAAGGCAAAGGCATGCAAGACTACTGCTGTGCTACCGCTCCAGAGTGGCCGGACCCAGCAGACCCGGGTTCGATTCCTCCACCCCTCTTGGAGAGCCTGGCAAGCTACCGAGAGTATTTCGCCCGCACGGCAAAGCCTGGCAAGCTAACTGTGACGTATTCAATATTCCAAACACAGTAACAACAAGTCTCACAATGGAGACATTACTGGGCCCACTCGAGCTTATTGGTACATAAGCATCTAATCTTACTCTCCCATGTCTTTTCATGTTTCAAGCATAAGTACAAAGCTGTAGTCAGATGAACTTGTGGAAAAGTAATTGCTTATGTGCTGTAAGTAAACAGTGCTCTGAAAAATAATATTAATGAGGCTGTTAGTACACAGGTATTATCTACCTCCAGACAGATGCCAGCAAGTCGTTTCAGAAAATCTTGAGATCTACACAGAAGAGGTTTAGTTCCCTTTCTAGGCCTAGGAATGAATCAATGGGGAGAAGAAAATGGGCAACCTCTCTGTGGGTCCCGTACAGGTCCGAAGTAAATATGAAGGCTCTCCTGAGGAAGAAAGCTAAACTCTGTCACTGAATCATTTATTTATTGGTTTGTTGGTTTTAGGAATCAGTAGTAATCCAATAGTGTTGAAGTTAACATTTACTGAGGGAAGAAAAAGGAAACATTTTAATATCCCTTTAAGGTAATATAAAATCATCAGTATGTCCTTTAAGAGTCATCACAGACTACAGCTGTTTGCCATATTCAGATTTGAGCTCCAATACTTATTCTGTAACTGGGTAAATCTCTGCTTTGGGGTTCTGAACTGAAGGTAGGAATAACTGGATATCTTAGAAATGGTGAGGATTAAATGAAGTGTGTGTGTGTGTGTGTGTGTGTGTGTGTGTGAGAGAGAGAGAGAGAGAGAGAGAGAGAGAGAGAGAACACAAACTAAAGGCTAAAAGGTTTCGAGGAAATTCTGATGTAGGTTTTGTGATGGGTGAGAGGATAAGAATGGAATAGGAAGAAGGACTTTAAACCAATGGGAACACAGTGTGATTTGGCAGGATCTACATCTATTCATATATATTGCATATACTTGCTTGGATCAGATGTCCCACATTGTTTGCTCTATGAACACATCTATTTTTGCTTGGCTCGTACCTATAATTTTCATTTCCTAATTGAATACCAACACAATCATAAATCACAGAATAAAACTCCAAGATTTCTATTTTTTTAGAAGTGAAAAAACTGCAGTAACTGCAACTCAAATCTTTACCAGAGTGACATGGTGAGGATGGGGGAGATAGGAGAGGGGTGGTAAGAGTGGAGGCAGGGGCGAAGGGGGTTAAGGTGGGGAGGGGGGAATCAGATTGACCTTCTTATCAGAAAAGTATTCTGTTTACATAGTTCCCAGGATTTTCTCACCAGTACAAGACCAAGTGACATCATTACGCATCATATACCACTGTGGGGTTTTTTTGTTTTTGTTTTTTGTTACCTGGACAATTTGCATTAGCTGCTGGCCTCTATAGAATTTTGAATTTGCATCTTCTTATGGAGGCTAAAGAATGTCTCCATTTTCCTTCCATTGCCAGTTTTTTCTTGCTTCCTATTAAGTATCCTATTAAGTATCTATTAAGAAATAATGGGAGGGCAGAGGGTAGAGAGATAGTATTGTTGGTCTAGTGTTTGCCTTGGAAGCGGCTGACCCAGGTTTGATCTTCAGCATCCCATATGTCCCCAAGTGTATGATAACACTGTTTTGTCCTTCCTGCATAGCCTCAGGTAGTTTAGGTATAATGGGTTGCTCCCATCACAGTGCTCCTATTCCTCTGTGTTTATTTGTAACTTCTTTCTTTGTGTTCTGTTGACTGTAAATATTGTTTTTCTCTTCTCCCTAAGTCCTTTGCATAGTTTATTCAGAGCAATGTCCTTTTTGTATGGACACAAGAAGACAGCATGCTTTCGTTATGTGACTCTCAGTGATATTTTCCTCCTGGGCATCTGTTCTCTCACCTAAGGCTCAGCTGCTCTTTCTTCCTAGCGCCCCCCAAAAGCAGGGTCCTGGATGGAACCAGGGCAATCGGTAAGCTATGTGCTACCTGGGCAATGAGATGGGCCTGGCCAAAGCGCCATAATGCTTAACAATAAGTTAAGAGCTTGGTCATGGACAAATGCTGTCATGATCCAAAAAGTAATAACTAGATTTGGACCCTGCTAGGGTTAGGAATGATAAATCTGGCCTGAGCACTGTAGTCTGAATCTGTGGCAAGATGTTCCCAGGAGAGCTGCCCTACAAGCCTCAATGGCATCTGTTACTGTGTCCATACAAAAGTAACTAGTATTAAGATGTTGATAGTTATTGGACTGAGGAAAGGAGAAAGATACCTTAGGAGATATTTTGCCTGGGGCAGTCAGGAAGGGCTTTAGAATACCTTTTAGGTGGGCCCTCAGGAAGGGCATTCTTATATTGATTTTGCTACCTGACTGGGTGTAGTGTCCGCCAGTGCTTCGGAGTTTGAGAGACGAGAGCTGGAGAGAAAGAGAGAGAGAGAGAGAGAGAGAGAGAGAGAGAGAGAGAGAGAGAGAGAGAGAGAGAGAGCAGGGCAGCATGATGGACTGTGGAGAGGCTAGCAAGGGTGACAGAGAGAGAAGAATGTAGAAGAATACAGGAGCAGGCGTGTGGGCGGGGGGAGAAAGAGAGAGAGAGAGAGAGAGAGAGAGAGAGAGAGAGAGAGAGCGCCCAGGCTGCGAGATGGAGTGCGGATGAGAGAGGAGAGAGGAGATGAGTGGAAGAGAGAGGAGACGGGAAAGAGGAACAGCGTGAGACCAGAATGAGCAGCTCAGAGAGACTGGGGCACACTCCGTGGGGAGAATGGAATAAACGACAACTGATCAATCAACCTATTTTGTCCACCCTCTGCCCCATGGCTTGGGCCACCCTGGCTGGAACAGCAGCCTGGGCCCACCCTGAACGCTGGTGGCTAGGGGAAGAGCCGTCGAGAGCTCCCTCCGGCCGCCCCTAAAGAGTTTATACACCCAAGCACTGTCAGGAGCAATCCCTAAATACAGACCCAAGGGTAAGCCTGTCATCTCCAGATGTGGCCCAAACCACCACACATACACCACCACCAAAGGAAAAAAAAATAATGGTAGTGGGAGCTACTGAGACAAAATTTTGTTTTGTTTTGCAGTCACACCTGTGGTGCTCAGGGCTTACTCTTGGTTTTGTGCTCAGGTCATTCCTGGAAGTGCTTAGCAGACCATACTCAGTAAACAAAATCACTTAAGTTTTCAGTCAAAATTATGCTTTGGAAGTGGCAGGGAATGAGTGTTAACATTTCTTAGTATTTAACTTAGAACTACAAAGGATAGCCTTGAAGAAATGCTTTTACTGAGTTGTTTTGTTTGTTTTGGGGGGGTCACACCTAGTAGTGCTCAGGGTTTATTCCGGCTCTGTGCTCCTGGTGAGGCTCTGGGGACCACACAGGGTTCCAGGGATAAAATATAGGTCATATACAAGGCAAGTGCTGTGCCCACTGTGCTATTGCTCAAGCCCCTCTTTTACTGAGATATTATTGAATAACTCCTTTTCTCATGCTAAGCTAAACTAAACTTTTTAGTCATAAATGATGGAAGGGTACCACCTCTAAGTGTCAGAATGGTTTACCCTCCACCCAGGTGTGTTGTACCTTCCATGTACACTCCGAAATATTCTGTAAATCAAATGCCAATGGAATGCCACTTTCAGAGAATCAATTCAGAACCCAAACAGACAGCAATCAATCTGTGGTTTTCGTTTTTATTTTGGAGTGGATTTTTTTTTGAGGGGATACACCTGATGATGACTCCTGTCTCTGTGCTCAGGGATCACTCCTGGTGGAGACCAGGGAATTCTAAATGGTGCAGGAGATAAGTGCCAGGATGGCTGCATGCAAGGTAAGTGCCTTTACCCACCCCGCCCCACTCTCAGACCCCCTCTCATACTATCACTGGCCAGGAATCTATTTGTGTGGGGTTTGGTTTTAATTTGTTTAACATATTTTTTTAAAAATTTACTCCAGGACCTGGAGCAATAGCACCGCAGATAGGGCGTTTGCCTTGCACACGGCTGACCCGGGTTCAATTCCCAGCATCCCATACGATCCCCCAAGCACCGCCAAGAGTAATTAATTCCTGAGTGAAGAGCCAGGAGTAACCCCTGTGCATCGCCGGGTGTGACCCAAAAAGCAAAAAAAAAAAAATTTACTCCAGTCCCCACATCATTGTTTTATACTTGCAGTGCGGTGACAGCAGACCCTCCACCAGAATAGACAGGAATCTATTTGAACTTTTCAACATTAAGCACTTTATAACACTACATAAGCAGTATATTTTATTCTGCTTTTGAATTGTGAAAATCAATTTGCCATCAAAATGGCCAAGAAATGGGGACTGGAGCAAGAGTGCAGCAAGTAGTGCATGCCGTATGTTTCCCTGCGCACCACCAGGAGTTGTTCCTGAGCACAGAGTCAGGAGTAACCCTGAGAACCACTTGGTGTGGCACCGCCTCCCCCCAAAAAAGGCAAGCGTATATTTTAGAAGAAAATTTTTGTATAGACTATGTTAACAGGTCAAAAAAATTATATATTATAGCATGCTTTCCTTAAGCACTGAGTATATGAAAATGTCTCCAAGAATCAGCAAGTAATAAGAGGTTCCAAGTAATGGAAACTGATTTACATTCATTGTTTTACTTCATCCTCTAAATAACCCTTGAGATATGTACCATTGTTAAATCCATCTACGTCTTCTCAAGAAAGATTCCTATGAGTAGATATTAAAAATTTTTTAATTTCACTTAAGAGAAAAACTGAGTAGAAATGTGTATTTGGAACAGAAAGGCAACCTTATTTGTTACAAAGTGTGAAGATTTCAACCTATATGTAACCTCTTAGTGTTTTATCATTACAAAGTGATTAAGTCTTCAATGAGTTCTTGAGCAACAGCACTCTATATTGTAAAGATTTAAGTATTAGAACCACAAGTAACTAAATATTATATAAAATTAGCCTCTGATACACCTAAAGCTGATACAATTAAAAGTAAGCTTTTCAAAAATGTATGCTAATTTAAGACTTTTTTTGGCCATTTGGGTCACACCTGGTGATGCCTAGGGCTTATTTCTGGCTCTGCACTAGGAATTACTCCTGGTGGTTCTCAGGGAACCATATGTGATGCCAGGGATCAAACCCAGGTCGGCCACATGCAAGATGAATGCCCTACCCACTGTACTATCTCTCCAGTCCCTTTAGATGCATATTTAACTGTATGCCTAAATATCTTTCTCTAGCGGAAGGGGAGGAGTAAGCCCTGGCTCTACACTCAGGGGTGACTCCCGGAGATGCTGGGGACCTTATGCAATGCAAGTCATTGAATCCAGCTCAGCTGTCTGTAAGGTAAGCAAGCACATTTACCCCCTTTACTAGCTTTTCCAGCCCCACTGTCTGCATGTCTTTTACACTTGCAACTGCATTTAGCTTGTTTGCTGTTTTGGTTTTGAGTCCATATCTGGCAGTGCTCAGGGCTTATTCCTGCTCTACACTCAGGGATCACTCCTGGCAGGGCTTGAGAATCCATATGGGGTGCCGGGGATTGAACCCAGGTCACCCACATGCAAAGCAAGTTGTACTATCACTCCAGCCCCCAGCAATGCTGTTTTTAAAGAAATTAGTTTACAATAAAAATTCAAGCATATGTGACATCATGAACCATCAAAGAAAGAAAAATTATGTTTATATGAAATATTTTATGCCTTCAACCTCATGGATTGGAAGAAAACATTTGCTACTTAAATTTCAGTTAACTAGAACATGAACCCTAACATCACCCCTTTTCTCTTTTTTCATCTGTGTCCCTGGTACAACACGATATTTTAATTATGCTAATAGAATTACTTTCAAGGGTCAGAAAAATGTCAATGACCAATTTAGGGATATGAGTTACAAAATAGTATCTGTTGGTTTTTGCACCTTAGTTTCTATTAAAACACCAATTTGGTAAGAACAAATATGCAGACAGTTAAATGTCCCCATGACGGTTGTCCTAATTATCATTATGCATAAATTCTTGGCAGAATTGTTCCCTATGCCTTATTAAATTATAAGGACACTGTTTAAATATTCGTTCTGTTTATTATACCCAGGGTCCTGCAGAAAATAGGTAATATGCAACTATAAATGACATTTATGACCTTACCTGTTGGTTCTCAAGACTCATCAGTGTGAGACTGCATGTTGAAACGGTCAGTTTTATGTTCATTCCAGAAAACTGAAGATTACTTTTGCCAAGAACTGTTGATTGGAACTTGACTGGAGGCTTTAAAAATAACAAAACAACACTGCAAGTTACGGGTTTTGTTACAGCATAAATTTGTGATGCTTATTATTTTTAAAATGGACCAAAGTACATGCTCTTCCTCCCTTAAAAAATCAAATGAGACAGAATGATATATTCAATAAAAACTCTCATTTTAGTTGGAAGGTAGCAAATTATTCAGTAAGCACAGAAGTTTGAGTTCTCAGAAATTTTCCTTCTTCCCAAAAGCTGGGAGTAGGGACATGATTTGTGTAAAGGAATTTCCTGTGTGAGTTTGGACTAGTGAACTCTCAAGTCCTTTTGAACACAACAAGTCTAAAAAAAGTTGCCATCTAGGTTTCTTGGGATGATCAAAAGAGTACAAAATACATATTACGCCAAAATTTATGAGACTCGGTGAAAGCAATGCTCAGGGGAAATTTTATGCAATAAACACACTAAAAAAGAAAAATCTCAACAACCTAATTTTACAACTTCAGGAACTCAAAAATGAAGAACAAACTAAACCCAAAGCTGTCAAAAGAAAAAAATCATAAAAATTAGAATGAGGATATAAAGACAACAGAGAAAACCAACAAAACAAGAGAGTCCACTTTGATCAGTATATTTAACAAATTAAACAGACTAGGAAAAGAAGACCCAAATTACTAAAATCATAAATGAAAATGAAGTCATTATTACCAGTTCAATAAAAATACAGAGAATTATAAGAGAATACTAGGGACAATTGTACACCTTATTGGATTCTTTAAGTGAAATATAGAAAAATTCCTGGAAACAATCTGACCCAAGACTAAGCATAAGAAAATATATGTAAAAAGAATCAGGATAAATCTATAACTTAAAGAAAAACCAATTTAGCAAAAATGTAGAGACATTTATGCCCTTATATATGGTTGGTAAAAATGTACGATGGTACAATCACTACGGAAAATAGTACAGCAGGGTCTCAAATACTTATTTATTTGTTCTTTTCTCCTCAAAAAATTTTAAGCAAAATTAACTCATGACCCAGTAATTCCATTTCTTATTCTATATCCCCAAAGAATTGACAGCAAAGGCTCGACTAGACATTGGTCCATTCATGTTCCTAGAAGCATCATTTACAATATGAGCATGGAAAAAATGCAAGTGCTCACTGACAGATGAATCAATAAACAAGATGTGTTATATATACACGCAACATGGTGTTATTCAAGCTTGAAAGAAGAAAACACATACTGTGTAATTTCACTTTTATGAAGTACTTAGAATCATCAAACCACAGCGATAGAAAGTAAAGGTAAAGGCCCTCCCGTTGATCGTCGATTTGCTCGAGCGGGCCCAGTAACGTCTCCATTGGAGACTTTGTTGTTACTGTGTCTGGCATATCGAGTACCTCACGGGTAGCTTGCCGGGCTCTCCGAGAGGGGCGGAGGAATCGAACTCGGGTCGGCCATGTTGGCCGCTTGTAAGGTGAACGCCCTACCACTGTGCTATCGCTCTGGCATTATAGGAGGTGGAGAGAGAAGTACAAGGGGTTTCTTTCCATGAGTAGAGTGTTTCAGTTACCCAACAAAAAAGAGTTTAGGAGATGGGTGGATATGGAGATGGCTGCCCAGAAATATGTACTGTATTTCATAAAATGAAATGGTTGATTTTGCTGTTTGTATTTTACCTCAGTTTTCCCCCACTTTATTTAAACACCATGGTTTACAAAGTCTTTCATGATGCATATGTTACAGGCATTCAATATTCCAACACCAATCCAATCACCAGTGTGACCGTCTCTCTACCACTATCCCCATTTACCTAATCCCCCCCCCCATCCTGCCCTCTTAGCACACCCAAAATAATTTATTTCATACTGCTTGTGCTGGAGCGATAGCACAGCGGGTAGGGCGTTCGCCTTACAAGCGGCCAACATGGCCGACCCGAGTTCGATTCCTCCGCCCCTCTCGGAGAGCCCGGCAAGCTACCGAGAGTATTCGATATGCCAGACACAGTAACAACAAAGTCTCCAATGGAGACGTTACTGGGCCCGCTCGAGCAAATCGACGATCAACGGGAGGGCCTTTACTTTACTTTACTATACTGCTTGTTACAACAAAATGGCTAGTGGGTTTACAGAAAAAAAAATACTTCTATAAAGAAAATTTGTGAAAATTGTTATAGCTCATCATTACCTCAATGTTTTTAATTGAAAACTGTCTAAAACTATTCAGTGTTTGGAAGACTTCCTATTAAGCTGATGTACTCAGTAAGTGCTATGAATGGAAATTAATTTTAAAATCTCCCCATTTGAGGTTGTGGGTACATTGGTGAGGTTTGGGAATTATGTACCTTGGAAACATTATTAACAGATTAACAGTGCTGTAAAGCACAGAACTTCAATCTGTAAAACAAGTTTTTAAAAAATCCGTTCCTTTCCCCGCCCCCCCCCCCCCTCAGTCTTTACAGATGATTATTCTGGAGTAATGACAACCTAGTTTGTTTTGCTTTGTGTGGACTGTATACTCCTGAAGTGAAGCTATCTTAAATAACTGATCCTGCCTGTTAGAATATTACAGTTGAAGCGCCCTCTTTCAAAGGTTATAAGGAGCAGGAAGAAGCTAAACTACTTGGGGCCATGGTTTCTGTTAAAAAAGAATAGCAGGGCAATTCAAGTGCCTTTTGTCGGAGATTCTCATACCATGTGGCTCAGTTCAGCCACTGTTTGTATCAGGGAGCTCAATTTATGCAAAGTGGAGAATGAGTTCTTAAAAGAGGCAGGGTAGGGGCTGGAGCAATAGCACAGAGGGTAGGGCATTTGCCTTGCATGCAGCTGACCTAGAGTTGATTCCCAGCACCCCATATGGTCCCCTGACACTGCCAGGAGTAATTCCTGAGTGCATAGCCAGGAGTAACTCCTGTGCATTGCCAGGTGTGGTCCCAAAAAAAGCAAAAACAAACAAAAAGAGGCAGGGTAGTAGGGAAGTAGAGCACTAAGTCAGAAATCGGAAGACCTGGATTTCACAGGTCTTCATCATGCTAGTGACTCAGGACTAGTCCTCTTTCCTCTGAGCCACAGTTTGTAGCTGGCAAGAGGTGGATCTGGAAGTTGGCTAAAATTCCTACCCTATCTTAAGAGCCTTTGTAACTCCCCATTGGACTTTTTAAATAAGCAAGCATTCTAAAATTAATGAATTCTATTCATTTAATTTTTATACAACTATATAAAATAAGTGCTATTTGCTATCCTTTGACAAATAAGGAAACAAACTCAAATGCTATATCATTTCAAAGTCTTCTGGTTCTCCCAAGAAGAATGCAGTGTCCTTTCCTTACTTTATGATTTATTTGTTTTTGTGTTTTCGGTCACACCTGTCCATGCTCATGGGTTATTCCTGGCTCTGTGCTCAGGATTGACCCCTGGTGTTGTTCAAGAAAACTTATGTGGTACTGGAACTGAACTATGGTAGGTAGGCTACATTGTAAAGAAGAGATCTTGTCCCCAGAGCCATTTCTCTGGTCCAAATGTTCTTTTGGTATATTTAAACAAATTTTGTATTATAGCTATTTTTGCATTTTTTCCATAATGCCTCAACACCAAGAGTCTTTCATCTGAAACACCTATATGAACAACTGCCAACTTAGTTATGCGCAATTAATATTTCTGAATAGTGAGAGCTTATAATACCTAGGGGTTAAGTTTGCAAAATAAAGAATAAACGCATGATGTGTTATGCAAAAGAGATAAGAAAATTATGACTCCAAAAGGTAGAATGACGTATCCAAGACCACATTGTTAGTGGATGGCAGAGGCAGGGTTTAAATTTAAGTGAATCAAATATCAAATGCGGGCTTTCTTTCAGCGTGAAAGTCCCTTTGGTCACCCCCACCAGGACTTATAGTCTGAAAATGGTCAGGGGATCTATGTAGAATCTAAAATGTTAAAACGTAGAATAAATACGTTATGCATTTGAAATGGAAAGGGGTCAACCTGGCCATCCGGCTAGGCACTTTATATAAACAAGAGGGCCTCAGAAACTTGTGATAGATGCCATTTTCTGAGATGAATAGAGACTCAGGTGGAGAAACCCCAACTTGAAGTCTAATGTCTTTCTCCACACTCCCTCTCTGAACATCCAGCCAGACAGTATCGTCTAATCAGCTGAATTTGGGAGACCAGAAGCACAGTGTGAGCAGCTGTGATAGCATGCCAAGAAATAACAGCTGGTTTGAACTTTGAGTCACCCGGTGGAATGAATGAACAACCATTCTCATTCTCTTTCCTGTTTGGAAATGTAAAAGAAGACCATGCCAATAGTTACCTTTCGTTTTTTAACCGCTCCGGATGCCCCAGGAACAGCCTCACACAGACGGCTTATTGCTTCCCTACAAAACAGAAAGCATAAGATGATTTAATCCACTCACCGGCACACAGTAAATGCTCCACAGACATTAACAGGCACCAGGAGGCACACACGCCTGACAGACCAACCTTTCTGTTGTCCCATAGGATAACCCACTGAGTTTAGTCCTGAGGAAGTATAAAACCAAGAATATCCAGCATCACCTTAACCCTGAAAGACTGCATTGGAAGAGGTCAATTAACTTCCTTTATCTTTCCTCTCAGATTTTTCAGAGTTAGGTGTGTGTATGTGTGTGTGTGTGTGGGGGGGGTCCCTTTTAACCAAAAAGGAGGAGTGGGACTTTATTGTCTTAGAATATTCCCAGCTTTATCTTTAGCAAAAGTCTCTGTTCTGTTACAAGCTTTCTCCTAACAAAGAATACAAAAGAAGCTGACCCTGGAGGAAGTTTAAAGGAATCAGGAGAGAAAAAAAAAACTTGAGGGGGTCTCCAATGGAGCCTTATTGACCAAGTTACTGCTACAAGTCATTGAGCGTTCATGTCATTTCACAGAAGAAAAGAAAATCAATAACAAATTTCCTCCTTTGCTTATTTTTTCTGCCTGCACTATATATTGCACTTCCTGAGAGAAAGGCACCACTAAAGTAAGCCGTTGAGCCTTAATGGAAGTGGTGAACAAACTGGCGCCCTCCACGCCTGAAATGCAGTTATAACTAAGAGCTTTTGTCTCTGAGAGGCTGAGCATCAGACCCACCCGCCCCCTCAAGCATTCATTCCCTGTAACGTGAACCTTCCCCTTGTGGCTTTCAACACATGTATTAAACTTTTCACAAAGCAAATGGAAATATCTCAGTTCTTTCACAGATCCCTTGGAGAGCAGTGCTTAAATTAGTAAACTACATTAATGCACACACACATATGCAACATCATATCACAGTTTTTACGTATATGAGATGTTTTTTATTCCCAAATGCAGAATAGAGAGTATTAAAAACCCATTAAGCAAAAAAGGGGAGGGGGTGGGGTAGCTGAGGTGTATCCCAGTGCAAGAGCATATATCTTGCATGGATTACATTAGATCCTGGGTTCTATACCTAGCCCTAAATTATGTAAGTGCAAAACATGTCATCAATGCTATTGTGCAAGACATTTGGAAAGAACAAGCAAATATTCCCAGGAAAGCGCTCCATCCCACCCCACAGCCTGGAGGGGCTGAATGACTAAGAGCTTTCTTCAGTGAACTACAAAAAATTTACCCCAGAGAACAACAGGCACAATGGGAGGGTGTGGAAAAGTCCACTGGACTTGAGGAGTGAAGATAGTAGCCCAGAAGAATGCCAGCACCACCAGCTCTGTGATTTCTGATAAAGGTTTTCGGCATACCATGATGTAGATATTTAATGAGCTCAAAAAAATAATGATATGGGTACAAGGAAGTATAAGAGTTAATTTCTAATGAGAAAACTACAATCAGAAGTGATGAAACTGAAGAGTATGGTAGGTGAAATAAAAACTCAGTGGAAGGCTGGGGGGATAGAATAAAAATGAAACAAATGCATCACCAACAATACTTTACCCAGCTAGATTATCAGATTTGAAGGAATGATATAAAATTTCATGGACAAGCAACAGCACAAATTAATAAATTGGAAAAACAATTTTAAAAAAAGCAAGAGCTCTTTTTAAAAAAAATAAGCAAGACTGACAAACCATTAGCAGGACAAAGAAATAAAGAAGAAAGATAGAGAAAAAGAGAGAGTAACCTAATCAGAAATGAAAGGGAAGATATCAAAATAGATGTCACAGAAATAAAAAAAAACACAGGGAATTGCTTTGAAAATATTTATGCCATGCAACTGGAGAATCTAGAAGAAATAGATAAGTTTTTGGACTCCTGTTACCTCCCAAGATTGAAAGAAAAGGAAAAATAGTGTTAGTACAGTTCAATTACTATCATGGAATTCAAAACAGTAATCAAAAGTCTCCAAAAAACAAAAGCTCAGGTCCAGACAGGTTTACTACTGAGTTATTCCAAATGTTTAAAGAAGATCTATTCCCAATTCTTTTCAGGCTTTTTCAGAAAGTTGAAAAAACAGAAATCCTTCCAAACAGCTCCTTGAGGCAAACATTACCCTGACATCAAAAACAGAGACATCACTAAAAAAACTAAATGATAGATCTATATTCCTGATGAAGATAAAAGCAAAGATCCTCAGCAAAATATTAGGAAGCCAAATTCAATAATACATCAAAAAGATCATACACCATGCCCAAATTAGGTTCACCCCAGGGTTGCAAAAATGGCTTAATATTTGCAAGTCAGTTAAAGTAGTAGGCCTTATCAACATAAAGAAAAATAAAAATCATATGATCATATCAATAGGCACATAGAAAATATTTTATAAGATTAAAAACCCATTTGTTATAAAAATACTCAATGAAATGAGGGTTGAAGAAATTTTTCTCAACATAGTTAAAGTAATTAACCACAAACCCACAGCAAGCATTATATTCACTGGTGTAAAGCTGTCTTTACTCTACGATCAGGCACAAAACAAGGCTGCTCACTTTCATCAATAGCATTCAATATAGTATTGGAAGACCTTTCCATAGTAATTAGTCAAGATATTAAGACCATCCAGATTGGAAAAATGAAACTCTCATTATTTGCAGATAATGTAATAGTATCCTGAGAAAACCCTACCAAAAAATTCCTAGAAACAATAAACTTTATAGTAAAGTGTAAGGCTACACAGTTTATGCACAGAATTCCATGACTTTTCTATATATGAGTAAAAAAAATAGAAGAGTCAGAAATTTTTAAAAATCCCATTCACAATTATGCCTCAGAAAATCAAGTGCCCAGAAATCAGCTTAACCAATGAAGTAAGCTGATAGTAGACTAAGGACCAAATATGATGGTCTCTCAGTATCTCTATTGCAACTATAATGCCCAAAAGTAGAGAGAGAGTAAGAAGGAAATTGTCTGTCATAGAGGCAAGGGCTGCGGTGGGTTGGGGGTGGTGGGAGGGATACTGGGGACATTGGTGGTGGAAAATGTGCACTGGTGGAGAGATGGGTGTAAGACTGAAACTCAATCCTGAAAGCTTTATAACTATATCTCTCGGTGATTCAATTAAAAAAAAAGAATTGAAAGAAAATTACATATTCCCACTAAAAGATACAAGAAAATGGAAACACATTCCCTGTTCATGTATTGGAAGCATTACAAGTCTCAAAATGAAAATCCTGCTTAAAACACTATAGATTCAATATAGTCCTTATTAAAATACCCGTAACAGGGGCCAGAGTGATAGCACAGCAAGTAGGGCGTTTGCCTTGCACGCGGCCGACCTGGGTTCGATCCCCGGCATCCCATATGGTCCCCCAAGTACCTCCAGGAGTAATTCCTGAGTGCAGAGCCAGGAATAACCCCTGAGCATTGCTGGGTGTGACCCAAAAAGCAAAATAAATAAATAAATAAACAAAACAAAACAAAAAAAAATACCCGTGACACTATAGAAGACATAGATCAAATATTGTTGAATTGTATATGGAATAAAAAAAAAACCTGGAATAGTTAAAGCAATCCTAGGGGAAAAGAAGATGGCAAGCTTCTCTTTCCCCCATTTTAAATTATATTATAATATAAATATGTAGCACTGTAGCACTGTCCTCCCATTGTTCATCGATTTGCTTGAGTTGATACCAGTAACATCTCCATTGTGAGACTTCTTGTTACTGTTTTTGGCATATTGAATTCGCCGCAGGGAGTTTGCCAGGCTCTGCCAGGCTAGCGAGATATTATAGGTAGCTTGCTGGGCTCGAGACAGGTGGAGGAACTGAACCCGGGTCTGCCGCATGCAAGACAAAAGCCCTACCTGCTGTGCTATCGCTCCATATAATATATATATTATATGGATATATATAATACACATATATATACTGTATATATATATGGAATACTACATAGTTTTAAGAAAAGATGAAATCATGCAATTTGCTGCTGCGAGGATGGATTTGAAGAGTACCAAGCAGAGAAAAGTTAGTCAGAGGAGAGGGACAGATACAGAACGTTCTCCCCTCATATCTGGGATATAAAGAAACAGTAAGGAGATAACTAAAGCCCAAAGGCAACAGAAACAGAATCAGTCTTTAGTAGGAAGCATATCACTGCAGGGGGAACATAGGGAGAGCAGAGAGGGAGAACACAAACAATGCTGGAGGAAAGCTGACAGCCTGGTGGAGGATGTGGTGTTGGAATGATTTATGCATGAAACTCTGCCATTAGCAGTATTGTAAATCATGGTGCCTAAGATAAAATTTAAATAAAAAGATATGGAAGCAACCCAAGTGTTCATTGATGAATGAATGTGTACGCCAAATGTGGTATAATACGATGAAGTATCAAAAACAAACAAACAAACAAAAAAACAATCGATGAAACGTCAGGATGTTATGCAAAGTGAAGCAAGCCAGTCACAAAAAGACAAATACAATATGATTCCACTTAGCTAGATGCATAGACTAGTAAAAGTCATAAGGATAGAAAGGAGAATGTTGATTGTCAAGTGCTAGAGTTCTTAATTCACTAGGTCAAAGTTTCCATGTGAGAAAGGGAGAAGTAGGTAGGTAATGAGGGCTGCACAACAACCAATTGCACTCATTTTATCTTTAGAACAGTACCTTATAGAAAGGGTTACGAAGATTACATTTTGAGCCCGGGATAACATGGTGCTTTTATGCTTGCCTTGCACAGTTTACCCAAGTTAAATCCCCAGCACCACACATGGTCCTCCAAGCACCACCAGCAGTGATCTCTACGGACAGAGTAAAAAGTAAACCCTGAGCATCACCTGGCTCCAAAACAAAGCAAAAGTTTTAAAAAGATGCTAAGATTTGTGCTATATATATTTCAATACACTTTCAGTACTCTTTATTTTTGGTGGGGGCACACTCAGCGATGCTCAGGGGTTACTCCTGGCTCTGCACTTAGAAATCACTCCTGGTGGGGCTGCAGCTAT